AACTGGCAAAAACCACCACTGACTACTTGTCTTTTTTTGGCAACTTTTCTAATGTGCTATTCCTCTGATTCCTTAGAGCAATCTTTCTTTTTATTAGTCTGTCGAGTGAAACGCACAAGACACACAAATGACCACATGCGGTTTTCCACTCGTGCACCGTATGCATTCTCCTCACTTACTCTGAAGAAGAAGAGAGGTTGCTCACAGTCTACCCCATTTTTGATTGCAAAATATTGTGATGACACAAAACACGGTTCAAAATCTGGAGTCTCCCAGATTATCACGGAGAGTTGACAGCACAACCTCGTTCCCAGGGTTCTCTCCTACCCGCCCTACGGAGCGAGAGACAGAGAGAGGGTCTCTCTCTCTCTCTCGCTCTGTAGGGAGGGTAGGAGAGAACCCTGGGAATGAGGTTGTTGACGGCACTGCCTGTCCTTCCTACAAAAGATGGCAAAATCAGCCAACTACCAGTACTTTCACTTCTTTAAAACATTCCAGAAGGCCCTGTGCACCTTCGACTGAAAACAGTCCATAGGGCGTGTGATGCTCGTGCGCTTCGCGCGTGCAAGACTCTTTACTGATTTCTTTGCTGATTTTGAGAAAAAAACCGACTGTTTTGCAGTCTATGTGCACCTAGCCCATGAATGCAGACATAATTTGTGTTGTCAGTACCGTCTGCTACAAAGCAACAACCAGAAATATGTCTGCATTTGCAGGCTATGTCTACTTGGTAACATTCATTATTACTAACAGACTCATTCGAAAAATGTAACAATCTGATTGGCAAATTTATGGCAGGCAGGAAAAAACAAGCTGGATATGCTGTGCTTATTTATTGGAAATAAAATTTCATTTCAAAAACTTTAAGCAAATTAATTAGGTTACAAACTCAATGCCACTTTCCTTTATGCAAAATTCTCTGACAGTGTTGCCAGATGGATATGTTCTGGAAACTGAGAACATCAAATCAACTCCATTATGTGTCTTTTTCCTGTCAAACTTATAGCGATAATTAACCAGTCTTTGCCAACTCTGGCATAAGTAGTCTCTATGAATTGACTTTTCAGATGATGTAAAAATTGTTTGTTTTGTGACAATCAGTACTACATGATACTGCTGTGTGTACTTCGCTAAAGCATCAACAATCTTTCGTTGGTTAGATTCTTGAGAAGCCAGACTCTCTCCACCATTATATCTATCAACCCAGTAAAACGCACTTAAACTGTCAATCATAAAGACCCCAACCTCTGGTTTTGCGGATAAAAGATTTTCCAGGGATACGATTGTAGCTAACATCTGAAGGCTACTATTGCAATGCACAATAAATAAGTGTCCGAGACAAGTTTTGATACAGTTTTCATAATCATTGTACTTCTCAGGATAGCCAGAAATACACTGCTGATTATCACTGTGGGTGGAGTTGTTCCGGTTGATATTTGCTGTTGCCATGGAAACTCCTTGTGTTTCCTTTATGGCATTTAATATCCTATGCTCAAGAATTGTGACTAGTCGCAGTAACTGAAAATGATAATCACAGTCCACAAACACAACTCCAATAGAACGTCCATTCAGTACCAGATCCTTCCATGTCTTGGGAAGAATACAATTTGCAATTAAATGCAGAAGCATCTCTGTCTTTCCACTTCCCTCCTGGCCACTAAATTCCACAACACTTCCTGGCTGGATGCCCTCTGGAATATCACCAAAGAGATTTTTATCCAAGCCATCTAATGTCTGCTTCCCTCCTAATCGTACAAAGAGCTGGAAACCAATAGTACAGTAAACATGATCATCAAGATTCTATTTAAAACCTGATACCAGTCTCCTTGAATGTTTTCCATCACACTAGTGACAAGGTGGCAATCGGCTCAAATTGAAGAAAACAACAGAATATGACGGAGTGTAAGGCTGTATGAGAAAAATGCCACCCAATGTTTTATACATAACGAGGCGACTGTGATAGAGCATCGACGAGAATGACAAAACTTTGAAAAGAACAATACTGACCTGTGCAGCAGACTCAACCGCCATCTTGGCCGGGACCACTGTAGAGGACTGAGCATTACCGGAAATTTTCGGTTGTAAGAACCGGAAGTGATCTTCGGAGAAAATATGCACGACCCAAAGTTCTTCTGGGAAAATAAGGACCTTCAATATGGCGACCAAACCGGCAGTTTGGACAATTTGTGTAAGCTTATGTCTTGTCCTTTTTCACACTGGTGAGTGGGTTATTAATTTACAACAATATATAGATCGCATAGTTTTAGTTCATGTCACCAAAACGGAAATTTTAAATGTAATCAAGTCTTCTTCAACCAGGCCAAAATTGTGCATGGTTTTGGCAAATTTTGACAACTGACTTGTTTAGCTTTCGACTTGTCTATCTTAAAGCCACTTTTGGTTTTATTATTTACCATTGTTTTTAACCTCTTTCAAGCGACCACTTGATGCATGATGTGTTCTCTGTTTGCTTTATGGAGTACGCCGCAAAATGTACAAGAATAACTTTCGGAGACAACATGGAACTATTCTGATACGTCTTGAACTTAGAAATTGCATGCAATAAATTATCTTCCAAAAATTAGATGTGTTGAAACTTCTTCCCGGAAGAGACCCTCTTGTTTGTCGAGTCTCATAAGTGATCACCAAATTTTTAAATTTTGCAGGGCTGTCAACTCTCCCGGATAATCCGGGAGACTCCAGATTTTGAACCTTTTCTCCCGGTCTTCAGATTAGAGTCTGAAATCTCCCGGATAATCACCAAAGTTCGCCATTTCTTGTAGACTCGACTTTCTGACAATGAAATTTCAAATATTTTGCATTGTTTGAGCTATTTTACAGTTAACATTGAACGTTTTCTCACAAACTCCGGTATGCCATTGTAATATAAGCAATAACGTGATTGGTGGGAAGTAAACCAGTTAGGTCAAATGTTACAATTCCAAAAACATCTTTTTTGCATGTTTTTTTCTTCACAAATGTTGTAATCTGCCGTGCATTATGACATCATCTATCATCCCCCTTCCCCATCAGTTCTCAATATTTGAAGATGTGTAGTGGGTGGAGGGGAGGTTGACAGCCCTGATTTTGGGTGGTTGCTTACAGGAGGTTCATCTGTTATATTGCACATTTATTGTTACTTCACTATTACCTCACGTATGATTAATAACACATATTTATATTTTTTATTGTCATCTGATGATAATGATGGTTTGATTAATTATTTTAAACAGCTGCAGGAGACAAGGTTGCTCAGAAAATTTATCAAGACCTTTATGGAATAAAACCTTGTGTCATCCTAACAAATGCTACACATCAAATTGGCTGTACCTGTAAGTAACGTGGATTACACTGCCTTCTTAGTACAGAGTGTAGTAATGAACTCTAATCTCATGGGTGACAAATTTCTTTGTAACTTTGGCATGAAATTTCAGCATTAATTTATAATAAAATTATTTTACATATGAAATTACAAAATTTCTATGGCAACATTCTGTATGTTTCAGTGCCAAAATGGTCTCAAGGTTTTAAAATGTTATGAACGAAAATATCAGTGCATTAAAAGACACTTAAGAAATTAACCTAAACACATGAAAGAGCACATCAAGAAGGATTCTAACAGGCATTTTGTTGAAAATTTCAGAAAATTGTGAAATTGAACCAAACTTTATGTGCTAAACTTTTCAGTGCCTGGAGTTCCCGATACAATTAACCAGTAAAAAAACAATGATTATGAGCGTAATTTGTCACCCGTGATATTGGACAAAATGCATGTGAAGTTGTAACCCAATTTCGCTTCTTACCATTTGATTACACTTACAACTACTTGTGACAAACAACACACAACTTAATTGTGACAAACAACATCATCCTCCACTAGTAAACTATAATTATGCATGCAACACGTCAATGGGAAATTCAAAATTCAATGTTTCGGACGCCAGTACACTGTTTCTTCCGGACTTTTTAAGGGCTTAAAACATGCTTCAAATTATCGAGGGTATAATAATGTCGAAATGATCTGACGGGAAACAAAAATTACTTTGAGATAATAGGGGGAGGTTCAAGTTATCGAGGGTTCGACTTATCAAGGGTAAAATTACAGTAAATGTGTAATGGAAATCCACGTGAAATCGATTTTGCCTTGAGTTAGTGCAAGGTTTGAGTTAGCGAGGGTGCGAGTTATCGGGAGTCAACTGTATATGTATTGAAAGGTAAGGATAAAATTTAATGATAGCAGCTACTCCTTACATGTAGGCTGTGCCACAGACGAAACTAAACTCTGGTTAAGTCTGTCTGCAAAACAGTGCCGAAATCCTTGTTCTGGGTCCCCACCTGTGTACCAGGATTTGAGTATGCACCATGATTGGCCTGTTAAGAAAGCCATTGTGGATTTTTCAAACAGGTTAAAAGGGAATTGAAATTGCTTTTCTGCTAATTTATTGAGTCAGGATTTGAGTTTGTGCCATGATTGGCCTGTGAAAAAAGCGATTGTGGATTTGTCAAACAGGTTAAAAGGAAATTCAAAACTCTTCTTGGGTAATTCATTGAGTCCATTGGGAGCCCAGAACAAGGATTTTCGGCACTGCTTCACAGATGTTACTAACTGAGGTTAAATTATGTCTACGACGCAGGCTACTACATGTACTCCTTTATTGCAAAGGACTGGGTTCTTCCCTTTAGCCCTTTAAGCCCCAATATCCACATACAAATTCTCCAAACTGATCTCCATAGATTTTCTTAAGAATTACTTGAAAGAATTTGATAAAAGGTCATGGCATTTTATCTTTGGTGATCATTTTATTAATTCTCATAACTTTATCTCTTGCCAATGTATGGATATTATTAGGAGAAAATTATTTTTGGTCACTATTGGCACTTAAAGGGTTAGTGTAATTTGGTTAAGGAGGTTTGATTGTTCACAAGGCTAACAGTTATTATAATATATTACATGACGTATATTATTATGTTTTTCATTCATTACTTAAATTACAGCTAGTATGTACGGCCATGTTGGAGTGCTTCACTATATTGAAAATGAAACGGACGTTGATTGGATCATAGAAAATGGAATTCATGCACCTTACATTCCATTGTTCAGGTCGGACCTTTTTGACTTGTAAGTATCATTAACAACTGTGTCACTTAGTAGAGCTGGATGCCTGGTATATCCAGGGACTTCCACTTGGGCACATCCAGCCCCTTGGTGTTGTGTGTCCCGATGAGTTGTGATTCTGCACATCTCAGCCATGATTCTCCTCGGGGGCGGGGGTACTCCCTTACAAGAGGCTAATAGGGATGTCCCGCTGGATGGGGTCGCATTTTCATGACTGGATTGACTATAATGGTGTCCCATTTTCAATAGATTTACTAGAATGGGGTCGCAAATTTTCGGATTTTGGGGGTAAGTAGGGATTCAAAATGGGAAGATTCTCTGTTAAAAAAATCAGAAAGTTGTTGTTTATTAAATTTAACAATAAGTTTGCATTGACCGCATTATATTCCACCACCTGAAACCACATTGGTAAGGTAGATGCATAAATAGAAAGTGACTAAGTTGGGATCGCGAGAATTACATTTTCCAAAAAGTAACTAAGATGGGGTCTATGATTGGCCAAAAAATAGACTATAATGGGGTAGGGCTCTGACAGGCCAGCGGCACATACCCTGCAAACATTAACCCAAGTACCCCCCCTGGATTCCCCATTTTAACAGGACTAGACACCCATCACATCAACTAACCAGTGGGAAAAAAAAGTAAACACAAGATCTTAATGAAAGGCTAAACAAACCCAGTGGTACAGAATGCTGTACCAAGCACATGGAGCTGATGCAAGCTAGGCTAACTGTACCTGTACCACCAAATCTACTGCTGGCCAACGGCACGAGATGGCACTTGTAGTTGTTTCCTGCATTAAATTTCATTGTTAAATTATTTTTTTTAAGTTTTATTAGAACTATGTCGTCATTGAAACGAACCTCACTTCTATTCATACCGGTAATCTTTTTTCAGACGTCTTCTTAAACGACTGAAGGACAAAAAAAAGATCAGTGGAGCCCTGGCAATAGCTGTCCCATCTGGAAAATACAGATATACTCCAGAAAATGGTTCACACCTTCTTTAATCATTTCTTTGTAATTATTGATGTCTTAAAACTTCAGACTTTTTTATTTCCTATGGTTTGAAGCCTGATCTAGTCAATTTACCATGTAGTAAGGTGTTTTGGCAAAGTAACGCACAAAAATTTTATTATTATTTTGTGAGCGTGAAGTAAAATGTCAGGATGTGTTATCTGACATGTGCCAATCATGGGGAGTGAAGTCCAGAAACATCCCTTGGGGGTCACCATTTAGGATATGTGGGTCTGTAGGTGACTGATGGGACAATGTTGTGCTTGAAGGCGCCTCTCACATGGAAGACAAGTAAGGCTAGCTGGGTCTGTGGGGTATCAATCAGTCCCTGAACTGTAAGGGTAAGGTGTAGGGTTACAGACGGCAAGGGGTGTTTTTCCTTAAGGTGTTTTTGCTATAGAATTATGTTTAAGCAACTGAAAACATTTTCCCTGTTTGCATATTCTAGAATTCTCCCAACCCCTCGAGTGTGTATGTCAGGCTAAGATCCGCAAAATTCAGGAAAAAAGTTTCCTATTGCTTTTATTATACGTTAACTTTCCCAAGAAAAATCGCAAATCTCTTTGTTATGGCGCTGATTAAAAGAGAAATTTTTACCAATCATGAAGTCTTGTGCACAAAGTCTTGCACCCATAATCAGTTCTTGTTCTGCAAAAAAAAAAAGAGGCTTTCCAAAATAAGGAGTTTTCTCGCTTAAAACGTCCGCTCAAGCAGAAAAAAAAATTGACACAGCATGTTTTGTAAAGATTTTCCAAGTCTCAGTTGATGAGGGAATGGGTAAATAAAGTGTAGTTGTTTGAGTCTTCAACACAAAAACTTTTTCAAATTCGTACTTGTATGATTAGAGGGTGAAAAGCAAAACATTGTGACATCACAATGTTTATATTACTCTCTCATGCAAACACACCTCTAAGCCAATCAGAGTGCTAATACTATCTAAGTTATTTTATAATTGGGGATAGGGGATGTTTGATGCCATGTATCAAAACACCCACATGATAAATTGACTGAAATTCCTCAACAATTTAAGTCATTTAAGTTATGTCTGCTGTTAAAAATCCTCTCGCATTTTGCATAATCTCCTTTTCAGTGTAAAGAGCCTCTTATAGTGGAGTGGGGGTGGGTTGGGGGTATGTAAGTCCTTAGTCTGAATTTCAGTGGGGAGGGACTCCCTTATGCAAATGACAGAAATTGGACTGGAAATTGCAGATTTTGGTCTCATTTAAAGTGTTCAAAAATAATGTAGTCTAGCTAATATTTTTGTCCCTATGGTATCCTAAGGGTTGTGATACTGTGTTGGAGTATGGTCTACTTTCAGGTCAAATTATAGTCTGAGCCACACCTTGATTGCTCTCCTTTAGCAGTTTAATAACATTATTCTAGTTTTTCGATGAGCATACCTATCTGTTTCATGTGAGAGCTCCCGCCTCCAACCCCATTCAAAACTCTTTGTTTCACATATTGTGGAAGAAGCCATGCCCATGGTGATACTTTACTACTAATTTTTATTTGCACTTGTCTCCCTTGCTGTCACAGTTTGAGTCCATCATTTTCTCTAAATTTGTCTATTTCATCTGTCTTATGTCACTTTTTCAAGGCTATGTTACTGGTTGAAACTTAGACTAACTTGTCCTCAGTATTTAAATATGTGACAGTAAGATAAAAATAAAATAATTAATTCCTACATGCAAAGTGAGCTTTTTATGCTGTTATTGATCTAAGAGTATTATATTTCTTTCCAGTGTTCATAGAACATATCTGAGTGTATAATAAATTATAATAGTAATATTTGTTGTCTTGTAGGTTCCTCTCCTGATTATGCTTGTCCCAACAATCGTTTTGGTAAGTGACAGTGTTGCGGCTTTTAGGGACTCAGTTTGCTGTCAGTTTGCTCTATTTTTTTTTGTAATAGTTTTTTTTTTGTTAATAGTTTCTTTCCCTGAAAGAAAAAATGAAATGTGTATCTTTGTGGCAGTTCACAAGAACATAGTAGGATAGGTCCAGATCTGCATATTATGTAGGTTCTTTTGTTTGCACTGGATGGGTCCCCTGTGTGTGTAGACACCAGGGTGAGGCATACATGTAGCACATGTGCTATAATGTTAGAGCTTGATGCACTTTGACAGTGTCATTACACAATATCTACTTCTCAATAATATTTTTACTGTCATCTGTGAAAA